TGATTTTTCTATCTTGTCGATTCCTCAATTCGAATCGACTTTCGACGCTCGGCTTCGACGCTCTAAGCTCGGAATCCGACGTCTTAGTTCGTAAAATCTCTATCGACTCATTTAATCCTTCGAATTAATTTTTCGTTTCGGTTCGGTTACACGATTGGGTGTGACCCGAATGATACAGTCAAGATTGGTTCTGATCACTTGACCTCACTGAATAATTAGTTTTCCTAATTAGTTCCGAACCCTCTATCGGAAGAATACACTTGTTCGAAGGACACCATTCCTTTCGGTTACGGTGTTTCTGCTCGTCGAAGACCTGATCAACCAGCCTTTGATATGTTGCCCCGGTATTTTTCAATCCTAACAGCATCATTTTTGGGTTATACACCCCAGTATTCGTGATGAATGCCCTTTTTGCTCGATCGTCAAGGTGCATAAAGATCTGATGATACCCCGAGAATGCATCCATGAAACTAAGTAGCGCATGGCCACTTGTCGAGTCGACTAGCTGATCGATCCTTAGCAAGGGATAGAAGTCCTTCAGACAAGCCCTATTTAGGTCCGTGAAGTCAACGCACATTCTCTAGGTGTCATTTGCCTTCTGAACCATCATCACATTGGCCAGTCATTCCGGATATTGACAGGATTCAATGAAGCATGCATCTAAAGTTTTTTTACTTCGGCTGTGATGTCTCGGTTCTTATTAGTGGAGTAATTTCGCTTCTTTTACTTCGACTGGCTTTCCGAATCCTTTGGTTCGGATGAGTAGCCAGCCTTTCCTTTCTCCTTTGATTTTTCTTGGCAGGGATCCCTTGGGCCGAAGCACTTAAGCCTTTCTGCTTCTTGGTGCTTCGGTCCTTTTCTCTTTCTTTCTCCTCATCATCCTTGTCTTCACGACGCTCTTTGGATAGCTTGAGGTAGTTGCACTTCCGCTCTTGGCTCCCTTGAATTCTTTCAGAGTGGCCTTCATCTGAGACATAGATCATCATCTGATGGTACGTGGAGACCACTCCGTGAATCTGATAAAACATGGGTCTCCCCATCGGTATAAACAGATGGAACGTCCATGACCAAAAATTCGGCCATCACGTTCCGAGCTGCTCGGTCTCTACCGATGGTGACAAGAAGGGTGATCTTCCCATCTGGATATGTTGTAGACCCATTGAATCCAGATACCGGACTCAGGTCCTTGGTCTGCAGGTTCAGTTGGTCATAGGCATCCCAAAATAGGATGTTAGCCTCACTACCACCGTCTACGAGAGTTCGCAAGACGTTGCGGTTTGCTATCCCCGTGATGATTACTAGCGGGTCATCCTGGGGGTATGCCACCCCCCAACGGTCATCGGCTGTGAACGTAATGTTCGGCACCAGAGACTATGGACCTCGGATGGAGGCATGGTTGACTTGATAGGTTAGACCCCTCAAGTGGCGTTTCCGAGCGTTGCGGGAGCTCGTCCCCCCGGAAATGACAAGGATGTCACGAGTCTCTTTATCCTGCAGCTTGTCTTTCTTCCGGTTGAAGTCCAGTTGCAGTCGAGAGTCTTACACAGCTTTTTTCTCTTCACGGCGGTTCGCGAGGTATTTTTTCAGATAGCTCTTTCGGACCATATCCTCGATCTGATCTCTCAGCTGGATACAGTACTCAGTGTGGTGTCCAGGAGACTCATGGAACTCACACCATCGGTCTTTATTTTTGTTTTGATGCCACGATGGAAGTGGCCTCGGCTTCTTCCACTTCTCTTCTTTCTTCGTTATGCTGTAAATTTTAGCTCGCGGAAGAGTGAAAGGAGTGTAGGATTCGTATTTCCTTACAAACCGGGTTTTTTCTTTCTTCGGCTTAGTTGTCGAGGACGATTTTGAGGCTTTCGTCTTCCCTTTCCTCTGGCCCTGGTCTTCGAACTATTGTCCTTTTTGCCTTACCAAACCCAGTTTGAGATTGGGACTTGGTTTTGTTCCATTCCTTGGCTCGAATCTATTTATTTGAAGTGTCAAGGGTTTCCTCCAAGGTATGCAGGGTGTGCATGACCATGAAATCAAGGAACTTTCTAGCTTGTAGCCCGTTCCGCAATGCGAAGACGGCTAGCCCTTGGTCAGACTTGTAATTCTGGACGACTCGTTGCTGAAGCGAGTCAGATAATCTCGGAGGCTTTCGTCCTCCCCTTGCTGCAGACTCATGAGCTCTGCAGTTGATTTCTCTCGGTGATTCGCCGTAGAAAACTTGCTCTTGAACTTGATGGAAAGGTCTTTTCAACCGGTTATTAAGTCTTCCTTTACCCCTTTGGTGATCCACGCTTATGCAAAACCCTTCAGAGTGGTTGGGAAGTATTTACACCAGGTCGCTTTGGACTTGGGGTTAAGATACATGTGCCTCTCATAAGAGTTAATATGGTCCTTCGGATCCGAAGTACAGTCATACGTGATGTGTGCCGGGATTTTCACCGTCGGCACATGTTCTTCCAAAATCAAGCTCAAGAATAGGGAACTGGAGGGAATCATTACTGCTTTCCCCTTGTTCCCAGCCATTAGGACCTCACTCCCCCTCTCAGAGAGGTAGAAGTGGTTTTCGTGCTCGGCTAGGACGGTGCAGGGTAAGGTGCAGTCCCTTCGGGGTAGGTGAGGCGACTGTGCACGCTGGCCTCCCTCGAGCCGATACGTTCGTGAACGTTTCGGTGGGCCTTGCCACATGGATGCGGTGTTGCTGCTTTTGATACTTCGGGGTTCGGAATCACCGAAGAACTGTGGGTTTCTTTTTCTTTCCCGTTTAGTTCTCCAAGTATCCTCGTCCCAATATTCGAGCTCCTTAAAAGAGGGAACTCGCTCTCCCTCCTATTGTCCTGTTCTCCTTCTCGGGTGTCTTGGCTGCTCTATGGTGTCAACACGCACCCAGGAAGCAGAAGGTGGGAGATGTTGATTCGCTTGAGCCTTCATGAAGTCCATGAAGGTAGTGAGGGCTCTCGCCATCTCCTCTGTAGTGGGACCCGTTTGCGGCGTCCTCGTTGGACGAGATTGGGAATGGCGGCTAGGAGTTGGACTCCTAACATTTGATCAGCTCGGCCGCCAAGAAATGGACGGTTGACCTGTGTTGCGAGGTGATCTGTCCAAGGCAGCATTTCCTGACGAGGTAGCCTCGGAAGATGATGAAGAAGGTGGACCCTTTCTCGAGGGTGAAGATGGAATTGGGCCTTTCTTTGAGGAAGAAGGGACATTCTTTTTGACGCTCTTGGCGCTTAATCCGCTCTTAGTCATGTTGTTAAGATGATGGATTTTGGGCTTGTTTTTTAAGGTCTTTCCCACATACGGCGCCAAATTATTTTGGGTGAAAACAATGGGTCCTTCGTCTAGATCGGCCCAAGTGATGAGTGGGACGAGGGTTTCCTACAAAACTGACCTCATGGGTTGTGCCGAGAAAGGCCCCTCCAATGCCGAAGTAAGTACAGTGTTTAGAGAGAGAAAGCTATGTAAGAATGCTTGAGGCTTGAAGTGAATGAATGTAAAGAGAAGAAAATCAAGACTTTTATACCTTGCTTAAATAGATAACTTGGGCCTTGAAGTCAAATGGGCTTGTCATGTTGACCGGACCTTTAATTGACCTGGCATGCTTTTAGGAGAATTAAACTTTTTTTTGAACTTTGTATTTGAATCATTTGTGGACTTGGCCCATTCGGAGTAAATTAGACCCAAACAGCTATAATCTTAATAATACATCACTTCACAACTCCATCAACTACTTACTACTTCAAGCCAAAATCATTAAATCACAATAACTTTTCCAATAAATTGACAACTTTAAAAAATTAAAAAGCAATAACAATTAACATTATCAATCCTAAGTCTAAGACACAAACCCAGAACCATATAATCGCAAATTTACCCCAAATAAATCTAAAATTAACATAGTAAATTTTAAAAAATCATACCCCATTTCATCAAACTAAAAATATCATACCCAGAAAACGTAAAAAACAAATTTCCCAAAAAAAAAAATCATCAACCCAAAATAAAAAGATGAAAATGATAGAAAATATCAAAATATGAACCTGGGTAAAGTAGATCAAACAAATGGGCCATATAAAAGAAGCCCCAAAGGAGATGTGAGCTCTTAGCAGAAACTTGAACTAAACCTCAGCATTACCTTATACTTCAATTCAAACGAAATCAATTTCGAAAATTAGTCCTAATAATTACATCATTTCCAACAAGTATCAAACCCTAAGAGAGTGAAATCAAATTAAAAGAAGACAATTGCGAAATTGAAGATACCTTGTATGAAATCAGAGAAGTTTTTTAAGGTTTTGAGAATCGGGAAGAGGATTGAGGTCGACATCGGAAGAAATGAGATTCTTGATAACCCATTTGTAACCTTCACCTGATGGCTCGCTGAATTCTTCCAACCCACCGTCCTCGCCATTTCCACCATTAGCCTCAAAGGATTTTCATGTTTTATAAAGAACCTCATAGGATCACATCCATGAAAATGGTGAAAAGTAAAAATGAAAAAAAAAAAAAAAAAAAAAAAAAAAAAAAAAAAGGTGAAAAGGAAAAAAAAAGGAGGCTGTAAAGTGTAAATTTGTTTTGTATTATTCTCATGTATTATACTTCATACCATATACAAGATTTCTCCTTTTTTTTGAAACAAAGTTTTCTTTTTACCGTTACAAGGGCCCCACCCCGTAATTTCCATAGAGAGATTTCGCTGAAAACGGTGAAAACTAAAAACAAGCAATCTTAGCCATTGAATATTCACTAGATAATCTGATAGTGTGAAACAACCTAGAAGTCACTATATAAAAAAATAAGGTAATTATATCAAGTTATATTAATTTTGATGACATTTACACCAAGGTCACTATATATAGAAATAAGGTAACTATATCAATTTTTACAATATGTAATTAGAGGTCAGTATATACAAAAATAAAATAATTATATCAATTTTGACCACATTTACATAAAGGTCACTATATACAAAAATAAGGTAACTATATCAATTTTGACCACATTTATACAGAGGCCACTATATATAAAAATAACAAGAGTCACTATATATAAAAATAAGGTGATTATATCAATTTTGACAACATTGACCACATTTATATAGAAGTCACTATTTACAAAAATAAGGTAACTATCATTATATAACTTCTCCTGCTCCTCCTTGTCATCAGATAACTTCTCCTGCTGCTCCTTATTATAAGATAATTTCTGCTGCTCCTCCTTGTCACCACCAAAGAAGTAGTCCACTGGCTCCAAACCCCGGCAGTCAAAGATCATCAAACGGACAAACTTTCCTGCTTCACAGTCATCACCTGTTAGATAGCAGCCAGATTTTGGTAACATTGTAATAGTACCCTCCCTGGCACAGAACTTGCACTGAAATAATGAAAGGGTGATTGATTAGCAACAAGCCAAAAACACAATGTAACTATCACCATTACCAATGTAAGAAAACCCAAAATTTAGAAGGCAATAACACACAAAAAGCAACAGAATTTTAATAGCTGGAATGGAACAAAGTTAACAGCTCACAGAAAATTTATACATTGTATTGTAATTCATGCATCAAATGTCAATTAAGTGTAAACCAGAAAAATGCATAAATGCAACACATGATTCATACGAATCAAAGCATCAAACGCATTCTATAAGCTGCAGGACATTATTGAAGGCTTAGTCAATACAGATATAGCAACAACGTAAGCCATATATCACTTGAACGGGCACACTATTATTGAAAAAGATGGAATCAGTACAGCAAATGACTAAACAATAGATAAAAAATAAAAAAATAAAAAAAGAATTCTAATAGTCAGAGCAGAAGTACTAGTACAACACCAATACACTATCATAAACCATTCCCCAAGTGCCAATACAAGGCCATCAATTGACATCCGGAAGAAATATATTAAACAAGTCCTAATTCCTAAGCAAATAATCCTAAGATAACAGAATTGCAGAAATTTCATACCAAACTTAAACACTATATCATGTTCAACAGTTCAATAAATCAGACAGGTATCAAAACAACGAGGAGAAATTTCCAGTTTGCAACCCTGGTGTTCATAATCCTTAATACATGTTCAATACTCCTGTAATGGATGAAGAAGCTTAAGGGGTATTTAACTCGCTTCTAGCAAATTGACGAAAGATCATCACTAAACATAAAAGATGAAAGTTCAAAGCTCCTAGAACCCACAAGTTCTCAAAAACTTTAAAACACTTTCCTTCACTATAAGATACGCTAGAAATAGACTTCATAAACAATGATAATCTTACAGATAACACACATTTTTGTAGCATTCAGTAAGATAAATAAAGCATATGATTCATTGATCAACACATAACTACAATCACTACAATAACCATTTAACATTTACAGTAAGATAAATACAGCATATGATTCATTGATCAACACATAACTACAATCACTACAATAACCAAGAAATAGTCAATATAATGCTAAAACCCTCATGAAACTAAATGGCAAGAAATTAGTCCAGAAAAAGAAATAAACACTGACAAAACCAATCAATAGTGCCAAAATACTACCTCCATTCAAATATAATTATAACATTACTCATTCAAATTACACTATCAACACGACAACTAAATCTCAAATAGAGCGAGCACAATCAAATCAGAATAGAACAACAGATTATCAGAGAGTAATAGAGATAAACCTTCTAAACAAGATTAGCCTGGCCACGACTCTTAGGGATAGGAACAACTTCTCCCAACATCACATAACTCTCCTTCTCAGTCACCTCTCCACAATTCCCACATTTCACCTGCAAAAACCCACAAATCAAAAAATTTGAAAGCAAAAAATGAGTGAATAAAATTGAACAAAATCAACCAGGAAATCGAACAAAAATGAACAAAGTCGAACAGGAAATCGCAAAATCAAACAATATCGAACAAAATTGATGAAAAAAAGTCGAAAAAATTGATGAGCAAAAGTCGCAAAATCGCACTGGAAATCGAACAAAATTGATGAACAAAACACGCAAAATCGCACAAGAAATCGAACAAAATCGCAAAAAAAAATTGATAAAATTGCCAAATAAAATCGAAAATTAAAAATCTGAAATCTACTCAAATTGTGAAAAAAAAATATACAAATTAAGCTCAGAAATGCCATAAGAAGAAATTAAGTTGAATCTTAACATATTTACACTCATATGAAACTCGATTAAGCAAAAAAAACCCCAAAAAAATCAAATCGAAAAATCAATTTGATATTTCCAAAAACACGTATAAAATACCAAATTAAACAAAAATCACAAACGAAACCTCGCTTTTTGTAAGCTAATGACGAAATTGATGAAGATTGAACCAAATTCCTCTATAATTTGATGATGTTCAGCGTTGATATTGAATTGGGAAGGAGAGAGAATGAAGAAGATGGAGAACGTGAGATGGAGGAAAGAGAAAATAATGCATAATAATGAAGATGGAGATAGAAAGAAAAAACCAACCGTCAAATTTGATATGTTAGCGGTAGATTATAATCTAAGGTCAAGATCCTATGTTTTTAGTTTTTAGCTTTAAGTTTGTTTTTACATGATCCACTCCCTAAGATCTTTATGTGAGAACTACCCTTTATATGAGAACTACCCTTTATGTGAGAACTCACACCTTATCTGAGGACAAACCTCAGCCGCTAGATTAGATCAAATCCAACCGCTGAGATTTTCTCTCTCCTCTTTAGATTTTCTCTCTCTTCCTCCAGGTTTTTCTACGCTCTTCCATTTCTTCGCTCTTCATCAATTTCTTTGCTTTTGCTCATCAATTTCTCGCGATAATCTATCAAGGTATGTAAATTTCAGTTTAATTTTGAATTTGATCGATTTTGAAACATGTTTTTGCGATTTTGATTTCGAAAATTAGGTTTTTTGCCAAAATCTGGTTATGCGATTTACAATTGGGAAAATTCGAAACATCACAAAATTTTCATCATCCTTTGTTGTTCTTGTATACTTAAGGCACTGTAAGTTAATTTGATTTTGATTTTCGTTGTTGTCTATAATTTAATTCGAATTTTAAATCAAGATTATGCGATTTTGATTACAAAAATTTGGGTTTCACATTTTTTAGTTTTGATTAATGTATTATTTTGTATTCATTCTTTGCACTTGATTGACAATGAGCTATATTATTGATGTAAAAAATTTCAGAGCATCCATAGGTTTGTTGATAAATTAAAGTAGCATTGAAATAATTGTGTAGTCTAGTAGAGTTTTAAACTAGAGATAAACATATATTTTGGCATTCTAATGAACGATTATTATCATTACTTTATAGTAGTTACGGATTACTTTTTTAAGTTGTGTTAAAAAAACTGGCTAGATTGTACAATTACACTTAACTGAGTGTTTTTCCCCCCTAAGTTCAATCTGGTACAGCTCTTTCTGCTAAGTCCACAAAGTGACCATTTGAGGAAGCTAATTGTGGATCTTGAGGTAGGTCTTACTTCCATTTTCGGCTTCTCCGTTTGGTACTGATTAATCTGTGTTTTAATTCTACAATGTTGTTCTCTAGGCTCCTAGATTCGACAGTGGGTCTGCACTTAGCCAATATCCTGTTATATCCTACATTTGGTCTGAGAAAAATTTAAATGTTGATCAGCGCAGAGAAATCATCAAGGTGAAAGTATTTTTGATGAATCCTTTCAGCCCCCCCCCCCCCAATTTGTTTTCAGACGCACTGGCCTATTTAATGTTCTGGTTGGTATTTTCTGGTAACAGTAGTTAACCTAGTTCCTTATGTAGATTCTTACAGTGAAAGATTACGCTCTTATTCTGGGAATGCCGGGGACTGGGAAAACATCCACTATGGTATATACTGTCAAGGCTTTGTTGATGAGAGGAACATCTATTTTGCTTACATCATACACTAACTCAGTTGTTGATAATTTACTTATCAAACTCAAAGCTCAGGATATTTCTGCTTTAACTACATCTTCTAAAGGGAAAGAATGAAATTATTTGCCTCTCAGTTTCATGCTTAATGTGTGCATTTTCTAGTGTATTAACTAAATCATGCTGGAAAGAAACTCTTTTTTTTTTTTTGGAGCTGGACCATGGTACATTATGAGAGTTGCATTTCATTTATTCTGTATGATATAGGTGAGCACATGGATTTCAAGCAGAACATCATGTGTAGTTATAAAATATATGAGATGAGCGAAGGTCAAACTGTTTAGGAATGGCTTAGTTCTTGGACATCCTGCTTATCAACTTTGTGGTTGGATTTTGATGTGGTCTCTGAAGAGATTTACTGTGGTGTTATTGCATGATCTCACAAGTCACAATGTTTGAACTCCTATATTTTCTGCAGCAATATACTACTTATTTTTGCTTGGTATTGTCTGATACATCGAATATTCTTGATTTTACTAGTTATACAATCCCTTTAAGCAGTCTTTTATTTTATGTTATCAAACTAAGCAACAATTCTTTGTTCATTTTATCAAATGAGCAAACAATTCTTTGTTGATTTATACATAGAAAATGATTTAAAACATATGATAAACCTATTAACTCAATTGGTAGAGCACTATGCAAATGCATAGGGGATGTAGGTTCAATTCCTACATAGGTTATCTCTATAAACAAAATTAATTAAAAAAAAATCAAATTCATACTAAATTGTATGAGCAAAAAAATGGTTTGAAATGATTTATAACTATATAAACTTTGTTACAATTAAACTCTCATACAAACTTGTGTCTCCACATTACATAAATGAACCTACGTGGGATTCGAACCCACATCTTTTGTGCATTTGCACAATGCTCTACCCTTGAGCTAGTAGGATAACATATTTAAAACATTCAAACACTCTCACAAATGAGCATTAATTTGACAAAATGAGTAAGAATCATTTGCTCATTTGACAAATGAGCAAAAAAAAATTGCTCATTTGACAAATGAGCAAAAAATTAATTGCTCATTTTGACAAATTATTTGCTCATTTTTGACAAATTAGTAAAGAATAAATATTAATTTTTGACAAATGAGCCAAAATTATCTGTTCATTTGACAAATGAGCATTAATAGTTTGCTCATTTGATAAATGAGCAAAGAATTGTTTTACAATTTTATAACCTGTAATAGTGGGTGTCTTTTGTATTGTTTTCCCAATAGCCAAAAGAAATAAATTTCATTAACTACTCAAAATTTTCGAACTCTGCATTTTCACACTACTCTACATGCTAATTGAGTGTAGTTTACTCATTTGTGAAATGAATAACCATTAGTTTGCTCATTTGTCAAATAAGCAAATAATTAGTTACTCATTTGTAAAATAAGCAAACATTTCTTTGATCATCTGGAAAATGAGCAATCGATTTTTTGCTCATTTAGAAAATGAGCAAATAGTTAGTTACTAATTTAACAAATTAGCAAAATCTTAATTTCTTATTTGTAAAATGAGCAAATAGTTTGTTGCTCATTTGTCAAATGAGCAAACATTTCTTCAATCATTCATTAAATCAACAAGCATTTCTTTGCTCATTTGTGAAATGAGCAACCATTAGTTTTCTCATTTGTCAAATAAGCAAATAATTAGTTACTCATTTGTAAAATAAGCAAACATTTATTTGATCATTTGGGAAATGAACAATCTAATTTTTGATCATTTGGGAAATGAGCAATCAATTTTTTACTCATTTAGCAAGTGAGCAAATAGTTAGTTGCTCATTTGTCAAATGAGAAAATACTTAGTGGCTAATTTAACAAATGAGCAAAAACTTAGTTGCTCATTTGTCAAATGAGCAAACATTTCTTTAATCATTCATTAAATCAACAAGTATTTCTTTTTTCATTTCATCCACATGAGCAATCAACAAGCATATGATATTCTTGTAATAAGCAGAGTATCATCCACATGAGTAATCCCAGCAGTGCTTGCAGCAGGTTCGCTGCCTGGAAATGAACCTAGAGGTGGTAAAACTGCACCTGTGGAACCAGGCACCCTAGCTCCCCAAGCATGTGAGGGTGATGGTGCTGGTGTTGATGATGGAGCGTATATGGAATCCCGAGTAGCTGTAGTAGGAGGGTGGAAAGACTGCAGGAAACTGCTGAGGCCTTGAGCCACTCGAGATTCAAAAAGACCAAAATCAGTATGTTTGGCAGTGTAATGCAAATATGCAATGGCTACTTTGTGTGTGTGTGTGTATGTGGCGGAGGGGAGGGGGGAGTAACCTAGAATTCTTTATGGCTATTACTTCCATCTGCCTTCTTTAAAATGAAATATCTTGTTAAAGATGATGCTATATTACATAGAAATTGAGTTAATTTTAAGAGGAAAGTAGAGTTATTGATGCCATAAGATTGGAATCAACAGCAAAAAAGAGAAATAGGAAGTAACAAGCTGCATACTATTGTTCTGCAGATCTTGTTTAATTTAAATGTTAAAGCAACAAGACAAGAAGCATAATGATCCTTTTAAGTAGAAACGCGGCTGCATATAACGTGTTCAGATTTTCCATGCAAAAATCAAGAAGAATATTTGATAATGGCCTCGTCTTTTAGTGAATGGGAAATAATTAACACACGGCATAGATGAACTAGTATCAACACCCCCATCATCTCTAATTGAGATGGTACTAGTTGGATTCCTCTGGATAAGAAATTTAGAATGTGCTACCCTTTATTTGAATCCCACTGACGGCTTTAATAAACTTTGGTTGTTCCTTGTGGATTTCAATCTCTTGTAGAAGTAGATGTACGGAACCTCAGAAATAAAACTAAACAAGTGAGTTTCCAACACACCAAAATCCTTTTTACAGGATCGTGAGGTCTAATGTTGCAATATATGATGAGTATGTGTCTCAATCTGAATTCCTAGTAATACCATACTTGTGTAGAATATGACTTTGAGACCCAGAGACTAACAGAACAATGACTCATGCACTACATACTAGTAGTGGGGAAAATTTTTTTAAAAAAAAAAATCGATCATCCTTTAATAAGCATTCCTCTTGTGGGCAATTAGGAAGCCACAAAAGCATTAAACTGGACACATGAAGAACCGTATGCATTAGTTCTAGGTTTTACTTGGGCAACGAGGTTGAAGAGATGTGGACAACCTGAAAAGCATCAATAGAAATTTCAGCAAGATAACTTTCAACCATAAATATTAAATACCAAGAAAGATGGCAGCTTATAGACAAACATACGTAGACAAAAATGAAAGAAAACTGAAAAAAAAAATTTAGTGAGGCATTTCGTCGAATACCTTGTAAGCAGTCAGAATTCTCAGCTTCTTTGCGTACAACATCAAGAATATAATAAATCAATAACCCACATCACAAAAAGATTCAAACAACCAAATTCAATAAATTCACAATCAAATTAATAAAATTGAAAAACAAAGATAAAAAGAGAAACCTCCATAATTCTTCAACAGTAAAAGTATAAAATCGATCGCAAACACAAAATTTGGAAAATAAACAAAACTCAAAACAATTGAACACACACAAAGAATGTATTGAAATGTCATCCAATTGGAACAATCAAAACTGTAATTCAGCATGAAAAAGTATACAAATGATAAAAAAAAATTAAGCTGAAAAAACATACAAAATATTGAAAAAAAGAGCAAAATTGAACAACATTATGGAAAAAAAATTCGAATAATACAAGAATTAAGTGATTAAATTGCAAAACTTACAACAATTTGATGATGAATAATTGAATATCGCCAATTTGGTCTTCATCTAAGTGAAGCCCCTAAGTCGAAATTTCAGAGAGAGAATGTGAGAGATTTGAACAATAAAAGAAATTTGAGCAATAAGAGGGGGAGAATCGTAGGTTTTGCTAGAAATCTAGAGGGAGATAAGAGAGAATAGCTGCAAGTGAGGGAAATTCATAGATTTCTTCAGCAATGGTGATGAGGGAGGAGAGAGAAATTAACTTGCAAAATGAAGGAGGAGAGAGAAAATTCTATTTTTTTTTTGAAATTATGTTTGACCGGGATAAATAGTAGCCATTGGATGCAATTGATCCAACGGTTGTAATATGTCCTCACATATATCAGGTTCTCACATAAGGGGTGTGGTCTCATATGATCCCATATATATATATATATATATATATATGTGTGTGTGTGTGTGTGTGTGTGTGTGTGTGTGTGGAGGGATCTGGTGAGAATAAGTCTATATGTGAAAACCATATTATATATGAGAAAAAATCTCAACCATTGGATACCTCATAATCCAACTGTTGAGATTGCTCACATAGTAATGGCAAAAATGTAATTTACATTTTTTTTTGTTTGGCTCATTTTGAGATTTTTTTTTCTTCATTTATCAAATGAGCAAACAATTATTTTCTCATTTATCAAATGAGCAACAATTCTTTGTTCATTTATCAAATGAGAAAAAAAAAATTAATTTTTTTTTACATTATTTTTTTTGTTTTTTATTTCTCATTTATCAAATGAGCAACATTTATTTGTTCATTTATCAAATGAGCAAATAATTTTTGTTCATTTGATAAATGAGCAATAATTCTTTGTTCATTTATTAAACGAGCAAACAATATTTCTTTGTTTTGTTTGCTCACTTATCAAAGGAGCAAATATTCTTTGTTCATTTATCAAATGAGCAAATATTCTTTGTTTATTTATCAAATGAACAAATATTCTTTGTTCATTTATCAAATGAGCAAATATTCTTTGTTCATTTATCAAATGAGCAACAATTTTAAAACATTCAAACTAATATGAAACCTTGAACTTACTTACTATATCTGAAAATGTAAACAATTGTTGGACCATAAGAGACCAACCATATACTAGTTTATATTATGCACTTCATTTTCTGCCTATTTTTGAAGTAGATAGTTCACAAGGTTAATTTAATACATGTTGTTCTGTTCATATCCTTCACAAATGAGCAAACTAAAATTAAAATGAGCAAAAACACATACAATAAAAATGCATAAATGAAAATTGAACAAACTTATATTAGAATCTTAGAAAATTGCTCCATAGTGTCATCACATAATACAAACTCATTTTCGATCGCCGAAATCTTTCAATCTCACCGGAATGCACGACCATAATCGTCGTTGAATGGAGCTCGAAAATGACATTATTTGTCTGAATTTTGAGCTAGATTTCTTTGTTATTGATTTTGCAAAGTTAATAACAATGACACTAATGGCGATGCTGTTGATGGAAAACATAATCTTCGCCAATTGGAGCTCAAAGACAAAATTATCGACCTGAATTTGAGCTTAATTTCCTTTTTTTTTAATGGTGCAATCGAAGACGATGGTGATATGAGCACAACACAAAGATGCCATGGTTGATTAGAATTTGAACTTAATTTCTTTGAAATTAATGGCGTAAAGTTGATGATGTATACTGAACAATAGGTGAGAGGAGAGAGAAAGAGAAGGTGAGGAGAGAGAAAGAAAGAAAAGTGGAGGTGAAAGAGAGAATAAGGGGATTGGTTTAAAATACTCTTTTGGTTTTGATTATTTTAGGGAATAATCACAGCCCTTAGATTTAAAAATTCAAAGGTCTAAATTTATTCTCACATAAGTTGGGGTTCTCACATAAGGGATGTATTCTCACATGATCCCATTTCTATATATATTCATGTTAGAACCATGTTTACACTGAGAACCACTCTTACGGTGAGAACCACACATAAGGTACATGCAATAAAACTAAAAAGACATCAATTATTTTTCCCTAATATTTTTTTTTTCCATTTTTTTTAAGCGATGTGCCTTACACCTTCATAACATGTACCTTTTATCTTTTGATCATGTACCTTATAGATATATGACATGTACTTTAAAGTTTGCAATTCCTCAAAAAAAAAAAAAAAAATTGCAAAATATTCAATTTTTAATTTTTTATTTATTTTTATGTGTTGTACCTTATAACTTCGTAACATGTACTTTTTATCTTTTGGGCATGTACCTTATAGATATAAGACGTGCACCTTAATATTTCAATTTTTTTAAAAAAAATATTTCAAAAAAATTATTTTAAATTATTTTGTTCTTTTTTTATCATGTACCTTATAGTTATGTACCACGTACCTTAAGTGGTTCTCACCATAAGAGTAGTTCTCATATTAAGATGGTTCTCACAGGAACACTCTATATGTGTGTGTGTGGGTATATATAAATATATATATATATATATATATATATATATATATATATATATATATATATATATATATATATATATATATACTACCTCCGGTCGCTATTATTTGCAACTTTTACTATTTTTGTCCGCCCAACATTATTTGCAACTTTCCAATTACTTTCCCTTTTTATCAAACTTTTTTGGTTAAAAAGACATTTTTACCCTTACTTATTTTTTTTCTAAAAACAGATTATAACACTAATCTAACATATTAATCAAACTTATTAATCTAACTTATTAATCTAACTTTCCTAACACTAAGTAAGGGTAAAATAAAAACAGAATTCATCCTCAACCAATTCATTCAATGTGTGTATTTAAACCAAAAAAAAAAGGGAAATTCATTCAATGTTCATCTGCTTTCCATAAACCCCAGTTCGTGATTCACATCTCACTTCACTCACCTAACTTTCTCTCTCTACCTCCATTGTTGAGTCCCCTTATACTCTCTCTGCGATAGTTTTTCTCTCTCCCCTCCGTTGTTGAGTCCCATTTTTGCTCACCCAATTTATGTCATGAATTTAACCCCCCTTCACATTGCAATGTTCGCGACAGAGGATGGTATCGAGCAGGGGATGATAAACGCTTTCTTGGATGCATTTGAGTCAGGGTCGTTCTGGCCTTGTTCTTTGTACTATTCCGGCAAAGGGCGTGACATTATGAGTCCCAAATTGTGGGAAGTTCTTGGTTTAGTGGTTAGATCTATGGGTTCTGGGTCCTCCTCTGTCATTTCCGGTGAGGGTGAAGATGAGGGGTTTGTTTCTGAGGTTAAAACACAACGGACGGTGGTGTTAGGGTTAGGGTGTCACCATGAAACCACTCCAAAACCCACCCCCATTGACGAATTAGGGTTTCAGCGAACACAATTGGGCAAAAAAGAGGAATTAGGGTTTGGTTCTAGGTCTGGGTCATCAATTGCTTTCTTGAACAAGCCCAGTTCTGTGGGCAAACCCCCTACGGGTTCTTATCTGTGTCCATTTCGAAGGCATCGAGGTATTCCTAACAAAATTACTTGCAATGATGATGATGAGAACGTGGAGTCCAGTCGTTGAACGACCTTAGTTTTGGCGTTGGTAACTGTTTCTAAGAAACACTAACTGTTTTGTTTGTATGTAATTTTTTTTTTTTAGAATCCTGTGTAGGTGGTGGAAGAATTAATCATGTTGTATGCCAGTAGGTAACTGGCAGGGTGGATAATTGTTGGTGAAATGTGTGTGGTTGTTGTTGAAACAGCATATGTGTTATGCTGTTTAGGCTATAGTGTGGAATCATGTTTGTTGTTGTTGATCCAGCATGTTGTGTTTGTTGTTTGATGTGGTTTGCTTAGTTGATGTGGATTGCTTAGTAGAATGCAAAATTAAAGTCCAGATAAATCAAATTGATGTAGTGTGGTTAGTTGTTGTTTGATGTGGTTTGCTGAGTTGATGTGGTTTGCTTAGTTCATTATAGTCCAGGAAAATCAAATTGATGTAGTGTGGTTAGTTGTTGTTTGATTTGGTTTACTTAGTTGATGTGGTTTGCTTAGTAATCCTAACAAAATTATAGTCTCAATTACTGTAAATTGATGTGGTTTACTTAGTTGTTGTTTGATGTGGTTTGCTTAGTTGATGTGGTTTGCTTATGGTTCTTGCTGGTGATACATGTGGAGTCCCTTCATTGCTTATGGTTCTTGCTGGTGATACATGTGGAGTCCCTTCATTGTTGATACATGTGGAGTCCCTCACGTCCCTCACCTCCCTCATGTCCTTCATTTCCCTCGTGTCCCTCTATTTTCATGAACAATTTCATTTATTCATAAAAGGGCAAAATCCATATGATGAAGGGACTCAATTAATAAAACTTTTCCCAACACGTGTTGCTATAGTCTGTGACATCACAGACTGTGAGGTAACGTGTTTATTGATGGTTTATGAGAATAAAAAAACCCTCTGATGGATTGATGGATTCAAAGTTCAGACAATGTTTTTAATAATTGGACTTCATTCAAATCAATTTTTCAGTTACATACGAGTCCCTTTACAAAAGATGTAACACTAACTGCCCTACCCAAAAGGTTGCTATTAAGTAAACTAGGTACACCTAACCAACAATAGATTAAACAATATAAGTCCCTTACACATTTAAAAAAAAAAAACAAAAGGCTGGTTATGTGTGGCAGTTAATGTTGTCCAAGTAGTTTCTTCATTGTCCCTCAATCTGCATCCACCTCGAACTGATATGCAGCTTCTTCTTGTGTGTTTGTGTTGATGACATTGTTGTTCAAAAATGCACATGACTGGTCCACCAATTCTTGGTTTACTTCAAGAATTTCTGGAAGTAAACCGAGTCGTTCTAGCCTTTCTTTGCCCATGTGGGGTATCTTGTAATTGTTGCCCCCTTCACATTTCAAAATTTCAATCATACATGATTGTAATGTTATCCATGTATGTTTGTTCACCGTAGGGTCAAACTCATCATATGCCTCTTTTACTCTATTGATCAATGCATCCAAGTTTTTTGGAAATGCTCGGTGTTGAATCGATTGAATTGCCCTAAATAGACCTAGATCTAGCACATTTGGGTCCGGTGATTGTGGTGGCTGGAAGACAAACTCAATGTTGAACCCCCCTTCTTCCATTGCTGCCAGAAACTCTTCATAACCCGGGACTTGATGTGGTCTTGCGTTGTCCCACTTAATTAACACTTTTTTTGGCAACATGATTGGCCACTTCCTTCTGATTGCTGGCAGAACTGCTGTGATCAGCATCTTCCGTATTTCTTCCCTGTTTATGTTTTGTGTGGCCTTAGTTTCTATTGTACCAGCTGGCCTGTTCTTGCTTCCTTTCTTTGCAGCTTGTTTGTACACAAATGGGAAGATATCGTACTTCCCATCATGAATCAAGTGGCCTTGTTCATCATACAAAGGTTTGCCTATTATGGCCATGAACATTGCTTTAGCTTTGAATCTCCTTGACTGTTCACAGTTGTATGGATCTTCTTCATTTGGAAGAAGATAGAATCTCCTTGTGTCCGGGTTTAGGTAAAACCACTTTTCGTCGATGTGTCCGGGTTTAGGTAAAACCACTTTTGGGGGGGAAAGGGTATCCCACCATTTAAAAAATTTGACTTTGCTTTTTAAATCAGATTTTTATTTGGTGGTCCCCCTTTTTGATTTTTTCTCTCTCCTCCTAATTAAATCTACAAAAGCAGATTTTTAATAATGTGGTCCCCCATTTAATTTTTTCTCTCTCCTCCTAATCACATGCATAAACTATCCTTTAATTTTATTATCAAATTTTGCTTCGTGTTCCGTAAACTCCTCCAAAGTTGCAATTAATAGCGACCGGAGGTAGTATATATATATAAAGTGAAAGTTCAATGTTCATTTAAGAGTATATGTTTATGGTGGAATTATGATGATTAAATTTATATATGTTCATATTGTGGAAATCTTATATTAGTTTTCATTAATGTTCAAATAAGAAGCTTTAATGTTCATTTATAACTAGTTTTATGTTCGTTTTCAAATATTTTTTTTCTTCATATTATTGATTTATTATATGTTCATATCATAAATTAATTATGTTCATTTTAAAACATTATTATGTTCATTTACGTATATAATAATAAGGATTATTGTTCTTATTTACAATTTGTTCATTTTCATGTTAGAGGATGTCCATTTTCATTTTAGAGGATGTTGAATTTACTTTTTTGAAGTCACTCAAATTATTAATTGTTATTGATTAAATGTTCAAAATGATTTGTACTTTTTTTCATTGGGTAAAAGAATGATGCTCACTTTTGTTCAAAATGATTAAAAAAATATGTTAAAAATTGATTATTCAGCCTCTGTTTTGAGAATACCATTTGTTCATTTTCATGTTAGATTATGTTCATTTTTATTTCAGAAGCTACTCAATTGTTACTTTTTTTTTCAAGTCATCAATATTGTTAATTGTAATACTCCGTATTTTTATAATATTTTCTATATATAATTATTTATTTTATTTATCAATTAAAATGGTTTATTTCATTTTAAATGAATTAATCATTTAAATATAAAATAAGTCTGTATAAAATAATATGAGCTATTAATTAGGCCAATAAAGTGTTTTAATTTGGGTCAACATCAATTAAATTGTTAGATCAACTTTTTGGGAATCAAAGAGTTCTTAAGAGTCTAACAAGTTGACCTCAAAGGAAAATTCAAGGAGGAGTAGGATTAGTAATGACAATTTTATAAATAAGTGTTTTTGTTTTTAAAAAGGCGATATAAATACCCCAAAACCCCAAGAATTTCACACTCAAGAATCAAATTGTCAGATTTTACAAAAGAGAAAAACAAGTTTATAACCTTGATAAACGAAATTTGTTTATCAAGGGGTAGCGCTGTCATTTCATGTGGTTTAGTAAGGGCATTTAAGTCCATCTATCGGACAAATCTACCTTGGGCCGAAAACGCCGTTTATCCTCTATTCAAGCGGCGTTAAACGAATTTTTCAAAGACGTTATCCCTTGGATTTAATGAACCAATGGAATGTTCGTTACTCGTAACTTTACCCATGAGGTAAATTTTCTCACTCCAACTGCTTTTGTTCATGTGAATCAGAATTCATGGAATTTATACTTGTGGTTGTTTCTAAAGAAGTTTTCGCCACCGCCAAATCGGAATTCGTGGAATTTGGCCACTGCTTCTATACGGTTTGCGGCTACCAGTTTGATACGATTCTCTAAGGTAATTGATTGTAGTTGGTTTTACTTTTTGGGTGAACTCGATTTCAGTAACTTCATATCCTGTATTTACATTGATTTGTTTTCTAGTCTGTGTGTGCGGTATTCAATACAGATTGTTAGAGCTAAACTGATATGAGTTGATATATAGACGTAAATGTTCATTCCCAAAATTTGTATTAATTGAAACAGCCTTGCTATGTTCACGGCTCCTTATACGTTTGGATGGACCTCTATTTAGCTTGATAAATTCTAGGTTTCCTCTCTTTACACCAGGGATGGTAAGATAAGATTTACTATGTATATTTTATTCATTTTACAGTTTTACCGCAGTACTGATGGAAGACGTTAGTAAAAAAAAAAGTGTTACCGTCAATTATATTGCTAACGTTAGCAAACGGCCATTAGCTCCATCCGATTAAATATACACAGACGGAGAAAAAGGACGTTTTCTCCATTCGTTAAAGCAGCATGTGCATAAGGTATAATGGGCCGTGAAAAAATATATTTTAATAATTGGGCCCGGAAAAACATTGCAAATATTTACAAATATGCCATAAGATTAACAACCCAAGTTTATGAAGGTTATGAACCTGGGCCGGCTCAATTTCAATTTTTAAATATTTATGTCTACTGATTTGAGTTCCTTTTCCTAATTGAAAAAAAAGTTCATTGTTATTTAATTGAAATGTTCATTTCAAATTTTCAGATATCCATCTCTAGTTTTAATGTTTCTTTTAAAATATGTTTCAAAATTTCAAATATCCATCTTCAGTTTTAATGTTTCTTTTAAAATATGTTCAAGTTTCTTTCAAAATATGTTCAATAATAAAATGTTTAATTTTTTTTTTTATACTAAATGTACAATTTTTAAAACAAAGGACCAGCCAACTTTGGTTGATGGGAGGACCAGCTAAAAGTTTACGACAATTTACGACATTTTCGGTTCATTTTTTTCGATTTACAAGTTCAATCTCGGTTTTAAGGTTGCCTCATTTACATTGGGCTAAGGAGGTCAAAAGGTAGCCCCAAAAGCATTGGGCCACAATTCGAGCATTCTCCTATACCCTAACCTCAAATCCTATCCCAACCCAACCATTATCCCAAATTAATTCATCCCCTAACCTCCCTTTAGGTAAACCCTAATTTCTAGGGTTTCTCTTTCTCTTACCCAGCAAAATCACCCAAAAACCTCCATTATTGCAACTTCGCAGCACCAACAAGAAGCAATTCGATTGTTGTTGCAGTCTCGAGGAGAGCGAAAATGGGAGGAAAGTGCCCGCATAGAAGCGTAAGGAAGAGAAGATACTCGCACAAAACTCATCGACGTTCCAAATTTGAAGTTAAAGGCGACGATATTGTCTACAATGATCTTCTGAAACCCGATGCAAATCGAAAGCCATTGCCGCTTGATGAAGATTTGCCTGGTATGGGTCAGTATTATTGCCTTCATTGTGATCGTTACTTCTCCAATGTTGCTGTAAGGGATGAACACTTCAAGTCCAAACGTCATAAGAAACGGTGTGTATTCTCTCAATTTCTTAATTTTGATTTTAATATTGATTTTGATTGTTTTTTCTTAGTTTATGATTTATTGGGAAATATAATTTTGTTAGTGGTTTAATTTATTTATTTTTTGAAAGATTTTATATTTTTGATGTATGAGATTGTTCATTAGTTTATTGTTGGGGTGAGAATTGAAAATTGTATTGTGGTTTAGAAATTGGGAGTTTGATGTTCTGAAATTTTGATGGGGGGAAGCTGGTTGTGGTTTTAGTATGTAAGAGACGAATTATAAAACTACCTTGAAAGATTTTACTTGAAGACGAAGCTTGAAAGTGATGTAGAGTAATTTTTTGCCTTTGGCACCGTTGTTTCGGTGCACAAGTAGGTTTAGTATATGATGAGATCGATTAGGCTATTTGGTGCGTTTGTTATCCAGACCTAGATTTTTATACCTAGCTTGCTTTTGTCAATAACCTGAACCTGGGGTGACCTTATCGAATTGGGAGTTTTGGAGTTAATTGCCCTTGAGAGAGTATCTTTAAAGTAAAATAATATTCCAGGAGTATGTTTATCGAGGAAGTCTTGTTGGATTGTGCTAGTAAGAAATATTTGGTTTGATGGAGGCCAGATTTGGTTTGTTGATATTTACGGTTCTTGAGTTGGCTTATCTTTCGCTTTTAGTTTAATATTTGTTTGAATCAATTGTTCAATATACGATGATTGCCATTGAGATTTGTCAAAGGATACTACAGGATCAAAAATTTTACAGTTCAGGGTAATTATGCTGGTAAGTGCAAATAGAATTCTAATTTGAAGAATGAGACAACATAACACTCTTGCAATATTGGTCATTTAGGTTCTTTTGGCTCATCCCTTTCTTATCAGGAAACCTTTTCATAATTATGTTTGGTTCAAATGTACAACTACCATGTTTGTTTATGCTTTTTGAAGCATGCTGGTATTCCATGGTCAATTTTGTTATGTGTTATTGTGGAAATGGGAATATTTTTAAGAAAGAAACAAGGGTTGGAGATTATTAATAGTGATATATTTATATTAAACAATGTCTTCCTCTTCTTTTTAATGTAAGAGATTTTATAATTAGAATGAAGATTGGATGCTAGAAGATCCTTTTGTTGATTGGTGCTACCATTAATGAAGGAAAACATAAAATTTTAAATTTTTTTAACCCATTAGAGGGAGAGATTGAAGTGTCATTCGTGTATAATCCATGAAGAGTAATTGAAGTGAGAAACCAAGTGTTTCAAGTTTCGGGTTTTATTTTGGAATCGAAAGGATAACATTGGGTTTATGCTTGGTTGGAAAAAATAATGGGCTTGAGAGCAACCTAATCAAGTGATATTAGGTGAAGATTTTCTTTCACTTTTCTTCTGACCGAGAATTCACAAATCATGATATGAGCTGCTCAAAAGGCCAGAATACTTGAAAAAAGAAAATATGAAGTTATTAGTAGTTGTTCCCAGTTGCAGGCTAGAGGTTTGGTGTTCCCCTTCTGTGCAAACTTAGGCCAAGTTGAGATTCTTATTCAGGGTCAGTGTTGCGTGTACTGGTTTATTAAACTCAATAAAGTACTCGCATTTGTTTATCAGATTAAATTATTATTCCGATAGCAATTAAGCCAAAAGTTTTATCTTTCTAACGAAGTGCTTTGTTGCGAATCAATGGCACTCTAGGAGTAATGATGATCAGTCTTTAGAAACGTAGCATAATGGGACATGTATAATCTCAAAGCTTTTTGTTGTACAATAGAACAACATTGTGTCATTATATTACTAAATTTTACTTCCTCTATTTTAAATTACTTGCAACACAGTGGCATGCAATTTGAGGTTGAGATTGTAAACAAACAAATTAATCAAAATAATTTATACGCATAGTACCTGACCCTTCTCGCGGTATTAAAATCATTTTGATAAAATCGTTGTTTACTTTGACTAATCATCTCCTAGAAGTGCTTATATAAAGTCTGTCTTGCTAGTTTAAGAAAACAGAGGAAGTATATCCCACTGATAAATAAAACCAATACAGCAATACTCAATTGAAAAATTATCCTGTTCTAGCCTATCCTTAGCCTCTTATTAGAGAATTTTATGCATGACTAGAGCAATTTTGTTGTTTTTTGTTCAGCCTTAAAAAAAGGAAACAGTCTTTAGTAAGTCAAAACACCTATTTCTGTCAGTGATTCTAGTTGTAAAATTACCCTCCAGTTGAGAACTAGTTACAAAATCATGCTGATCCCAAAGAAAGGGAATGTTGTTTATGGGCACAGCAGATGTGGTAATCTTACGTGGCCTAATGTTATTACATACAACTGGAAAGGGTGCTAGGAAAAAGCTTTACCTTCTGGTAGGAGGATAAATTGCAGCTTTGGACAAACCTTTCTTGGGGTTTTCTGCAAGGATTATCAATGATGTATCAATGAAAGATAAACCAGTTCTGGAAAGTCATTAAGAATTTAAGAAACAACCTCCTCCTATCAGAAATTGATTTAGATGCAGATAAACCCTATTGGTGAAAGTTAGCTTATGTTATTCTATTATCCAACGGTTTTATATTTCATCTTATTTTTCCGAGTTGTTACCCTGCTGGATTGTGTAGATGCTCCCCAGACTTTGACTATCTTGAGCAATTGTGTTACGAGTTGCCACAGTTCTCTATTGTTTTCCCTTTTTTCTTTTTTTATTATAATTGGTACTTGATGTTCTTAGCTCTAGTGAAGGAAGTTGTACTGCAATTGTTCAATAATAGTCCAAAAACAGTTAGAAAAAGTCGTCATATATTGTGAATTAGAAATGGATAATGTTTCAATTTTGCATGATGCCCTTGTTTTGAATTAATGAACAAGAGAGGGTACTATGGACAACTATTGCAAAGGTGATTTTAGTTAAACATGTTAATTTTTTTATTATGATAGGTTGTGAATGTGTGACAGCGTTATAGCGTGCTCATGGGGTGTGCTTAGCAGCATAAGAATATTAAGCATTCGACTTCCATGCCTCCCCCCCCCCCCCTTCTCCCTTCCCTTATTATCCCCTCTGTTGTTTTAAGCATTACATTGACATTCCTAAAGCATGATATATATGGTTTGTATCCCCACCCCCCTCTCTTTTTATCCCCTTTGTTGTTTTAAGCATTAAATTGACATCCCTAAGCATGATATATGGTTTGTATCCTATCCCCCCCCCCCCCCTCCTCATCCCTTTTTATCCCCTTTGTTGTTTTAAGCATTAAATTGACATCCCTAAGCATGATATATATGGTTTGTATATTTACTCAATATTATTTTCGTTTGAGCAGTTTGAAGATAATGTTAGGACCTGCACCACACACGCAACTTGATGCCGAACTAGCTGCTGGTATGGGCATGCCGGATAACGGTCCAAAGTTGATGTCTATGTGAATTGTGAAATCTTCTTTTTCCTTGTAATGATAAATATTTTTGTTGAAAAAATGTAGCAAGATCAGAGAATCTTTTAAAAAGTTGGATTAGTAAGAATACTTTCAGGCATTATTATAAACTTGTTGCTGGTTTCTTTTACTAGCTGTCTACTGTACATTGTGTTTAAGAACGGTTTAACTGCTTTGCCTCCTTTTCTGGACCATTCCAGTCCCAAACAGTTTAGCTGATTTTACTCCTGCTGAAGTGCTGGACCATTCTAGCCCTAAACGTAGCAGGCTGAATGTCCTCTAACCTTTGCCTCCCTCCCTACCCCCTTCCTCCCTGCAAGAATATTGTAGCTCAACCTCAAGAAGGGGAGGGGGGTGTATATTAAGTATTACCATTAAGCTCTGAGCTACTAGGCAATAGGCTCCTTTAATTGTCCTTGATATTAGATGTATTTCAATTCCTTCTCTTTGAAGTTGGAATTTTGTTTGCTTTATTAGATTGGGGAATTTTGTTTAGTCTTTAGACTGGAAGCTGCCAGCTACCAGGTAAGCTATTAGCTTCATGGTGCACATTTTATATAGTAGATACCCAAGAAGTTATGGGTAAAATTTCCTCCATTTCTATTTAGTTACACCATTTCTTTTGAGCAGGACCCGGTTCATCTCGGGGTGTTCTGGTAATTTCCTGCTAAAAGAAGGGGTACCTTTGTAATTTGTTTGTCATAGAGAATATTGGCATGTAACTCCTACATAACGTCGTTAAGTAGAAAGGATCTAACCATAGTTAATAGGGGTCTTTCCCATCACTATTCGCCATTGAATTAACTCCATTTCAATTTCAATCAATCTTGTTTCTTTGAACTTCAATTTTATGCCGTTTCTCTCTCTCTCTCTCTTCACGCCTCTCTTTCTCTTTCCATGCTCTCTTTCATTTAACTTAGCGGTTTTTAAGGTCAAATTCGACCATGAAATCTTTAGATCTAGAGTTTTCATGGTCGAATTTGGCCTTAGTAAACCAAATTCGAGGTGAAATTCAAAGCCAATTTTGGTTTTTAAGGTATTTTTTGTGTTTTAAATTTTCTTTCTTTTATTTTTTTTTTATTTTTTATTTTTAATTTGGGTTGTGCTGGTGGAATTTGCCGTTCGTGGTGAGCGGTTCAGGTGGGTATATAGCCGGGTCGATTAGGATTAGGTGGGGTGGGTGCGTGGTTTAGGGAGGGTGGGTTTAGAGAAGAAGCGAGGGTTAGGAGTGGGTAGTGGGTTTAGCCGTTTAGATGGTGGGTAGGTTGGTTAGGGTTAAGTGGTGGGTCTGGATGGTAGCAGTTGCGAGTGCAGATTTTGTTAATTTTCAATTTTTTTTTTTTTTTTGCTATTTGCAAATTTTGTTTTATTTTTTAATTTGATGCTTTTTTTTTGTCATGGAATTTTTTTTTTGTGGTGGTGGATGGTGGTGGTATGAGTGACGGTGGTGGTGTGAGTAGGCAGGGTTGTAAGCGAGATGGGGGTGGGGAAATGAGGGAAAGGGGGTGGGCTTGGGTGGTGGTGGGCAGGGGGTGGATTTGTGATTTTTTTAAAATATTTTTTTTCTTTTGTCAGTTTTCTGACTAGACAAATTCAAGGCGACTATTTCATATACCTTTGACAATTTAGACAATCGCATGTTGTTCGTTAGTTGCAGAGCTTTGCGATCACCATTCTTCCCTCCTCCTAATTCGAAATAGCAAGGTACCTTCAAGTAACTCAAAGTTGAGTTAAGGCATAATGCCTAAAATAATGTCTCTTTTCCTTTATCAAGTCACTTTTTCCCTTAAATTTGGACGAAATAGGACATGTGAGTGAGGAAACTTTTGTTTATTCTTACTTTACAATTCCCAATACGTTTTTATTACAATATTGCTGCTTGATAAATGTTTAAAGTTTATCTAGGAGATGAACAAACTTAATTTTTTTTTTTTTTTTTTAAGCCATGAACTTTGATTTCCTCCTTTTTGTTACACTAATATTTAGGACAAAAAAGTAAGGGAATTTGAAGGGTATTATTATAAGCAAAGAAATTACACAAATTAAGCTAGTGAGGATTATGACATTTTTGTTTTAGGAAAATGGTTTTATTTTATACTTCCTCCATTTTTATTAATTGGATCACTTTTCTAAAATTAAAGGAAGTTTTAAATTAGTTGCATCACTTTCCTTTTTAAGTAATAAATTATCTATCTCTCTCCTATCACATGGGCCCATTTATTTTTTCTCTCTTCCTCTCTCTACTCCAAAAATTGCCTAGAAGTCCGTGAAAACAAAAGTAATGCAACTAAAAAAAAACAGAGGAAATAATAGATAATTGGAGATTTTAATGGTCAAAGTGTTCTATGAAATGTGAATAATGTAAAAGTTGATCGATTAAAGGGGTGGAGGGGGCATTTGGATTTTTTTTTCCAGTACTAGGATGGCTAATGCACGCGTCACAGCTAGCCTTGTTTGGGGAGCTTTATCAGTTTGTTATATTAATATGAAAACAAATATTTTAGGGGTATAAATGTCCGCACATTATTTTAAATAGTTCAGCAAAAAAAAAGGCAATCAACATTAATAAAGGTTTAAAAAAAATAAAAGCAAGATAAAAATTGTACATATTAATAAGGGTAAATATGTAAATGCACATTTTGAAGTGTATAATTGGTAGCACAATATTTATAAGAGTAATCTTGTACGTTTTATAAGGTAGGAGTTTTGCATATCATTTTGGGTTTTTGTTAATTATTTTCTATTTTTCTACATCCTACTATATAGGCATGTGATAAGTTATTGTGAAAGCCACAACAAATAGGAATATTATGGCACCTTTAGCAAACAATATCTCTAGACTCTAGTAGGAATGAGCTAGACATTATGGAGTAGCGCCAAAGAAAGATTTACAATGTTGGGGAAATATCTAACTTCCAAATCTAATTAATTTTCATTTTTATTGTTATGTGCAAGCCAAGTGCCAGATTTATACAAGTAATATTCTTATTACTAGAGAGTAGAGACCCCTCAATAAGGTTCATCAATTAGATCCAAGGAGAGGGATACCTCGAATCATGTCACTTTACTACACATCAGAGAGCTTTAATGTCCCAAGAGTGGTCATCATTACAAGGATATTAATAATCTAAAATAAGATCTGAATTCTTTGTTGTCCGCTTTTTCCTTAATTACCATCTCCCACATAGGTAATTACAGATAAGTAAAAATGAGTTTAATCAGTAAAAATAATTTCTATTTGAAATATTTCAAATCAAAGAAAACTTAGACCTAAGCGGCTTAGCCTAAGTTCACACGTTATGATGGTATTCAACCGGTTCTGGCCATTAGTCATTAAGGCAGCATGTGTAGGTAAAATGTAAAATTCCTAAAGCACACTCACCAAAATAATGATCCACCGAGTTATAATGTCATTAAAAGGCAAAGGCATATGCCAAGATTAATGGGTTGTTGTCCCTTAATTTTGTGGTGATGAATAAACCCCTATAAATAAGGGGAAATATAATACAACCATAGGTACCATATGATTTCCTACAAGTAATAAAGTCAATTTAATAACAGGTAGATTCTAGATAAAGATTTTGTTTATTTACTCATTTCGAAATGAGCAAAATACTTAAGTGTATCTATTGGAACTGTTTTTATACACAAAACTACACAAAGGCTGAACAATCAAACTAGCGCATATCCTCACAATTTTTTTAGTTTAGTATTTACAGGTTCTGTATGTTGAAGTATAGGTCTCTATATCTATATAGCCTTAATTGTTGTTAAGATTCAAACCTGAAACTTTTAGGGTGTAAGACAAGAGTCTTCTATCAAGTAAGTCAAGTTTTGTTTGATATTGCACATTAGATTATCTTAAGCGTTACCATTGTACTTGTTTATTCAAGTAATTGCTTATTGAAATGTCTAAAATGATACAATTATAAGTACTTTCAAATATATAACATAATTTGGTAGACTCAGAAACTTGATACACATTAATACCAAATAGGATTTAGAAACTGGAGAAATAGAAAAATCAAAGTTGTAGATAATCAACTAACCTAATTAGTAAAATTGTGGTTTTCAAAATCTAGATCAAATTTTATCTTTATCATTTTCCTCTGTAACTTCCTATACACCCAAAAAAAAAATTGAAAAAATACAAGTAATTTTTACAAAATTCACTCTCATAATTTAAAACATAAGTGGTCACTTGGGACCACTCACATCCATGTAAAGCATAAACATATGCATGCTTTTAAGAGCAGAATAATTTGAATGTCATTTTCTCCAACTAAATCTCCTTTTCAATTTTTGTTTTTGTGTTTTTTAAATAAAACTAATTAATTAATTGAAAAAAAAATAATAAAAAGAAAAAAATAACTCCTTGGCGCTCATGCACACCCCCACCATTAGGAGCCCACTTTTTTGTGTCCTTTTAACCCAAAAGAAACTCCATCTTTATAATTTACTAGTATTTTTCAAGTTAGTAATGTGTCATTTCTATGAGTTCACTTTCACCTTTTCATGTGTGATATTATGAACGTGCAACCACCACAATGAAACCAAAAATAAAAATTATTTTGCTCCCCGGTTTATATCACTCTTCCGCATGCTCTGTCACCCTTTATTATTTTTCATGCCCACAACCAATTTCCTCATTTAATTTGAAGTACTAGGTCTGAACAAAACTATCCGAGAAATCGAAAATCCGATTTATCATCATTCTGAAAATTAGGGTATCCGATTCAATTAACCATAACGGTTTGGGTATCCGTTTCAATAATTTGTTATCGGGTATAGTTATTGGGTATCATTTTAAAATTAATGGTTACCCAATCCGATCCAATAAGCAATTTTTTTATTTTTTGTCCTACTTAAATCTATTTTTCCAAAATCTAAACTCTTACTTTACTTCATAATCACTATATAATATCAATGATTAGTAATATTATTAATAATTTGGTCAAGATCATGTGGTATTGTTGTAAATTAGTGTTAAAAGATATCATAATAACTACATTATTAAGTATAATTATCATTATTGGATATCTTATTGAGTACTCGATGACCGATCCAAAAATTCGGGTATCCAAAATCCGAATACCCGAACTTATCAGTTTGACTTATAAATATCACTTTTAGTAATATTAGTTATCGATTACGCGAACTGTAAGTACTAACGGTTCAATTATCCGTCCCATACTCACCCCTATTTGAACCACTACTATTTTGTGCTTACTAAAATTCTATGGGTGCAATAATGTAATGCTCTCCCTTCAATTGTCTTTTACTTTTATCTTACGGAGCGATAAATTACAATCATAGACAAATATTTCGTACTTATTAACCAATAGATTACGTTATGGAATTTAGTGGCTAAAAAAAAGTTGCGTCTCTTAACTGCCTAACCCATTTCAATTTTTGTCATACTTTACCCTACATAAACCTAACAAAATTGATTTTTTACAGTGTCCAATTATTTTATTCCAATTCCCTACCTTAACTCCATTATAACATTACCTAGTTCTGACCTAGACATATAATTATCTTTCAAAAAACAAAAAAAAAACAAAAAAAAAAAAAAACCTAGACATATTATTATCCTAACTCGTTCTAAAGAAGAAAAAAGATGGACGCCTACACAATACGAAGTACTTGTATTAGATTTATGTCATGTAAACACTTCATTTCATGTATTCATCATCAATATGACAATTCATCACTCGAATTACATATCTGTGGGATCTGTACCCGTACTAAATTCTAGTGAGCAAAACAGAGCGAATCGATACCTTTCGGATGTGTGGCATGTACAATAGCTAGGAAGTTGGATCCAAATGACGAACCTTTTGGATAAAATTACTATATTTCATAAGCTAAATTAGATAACACATACACAAGAAGCTATATATGACAGCAAAAATCAAGAATTCCAAACTGATGAGAAGGGATATGTGAGTATACTCTTTTTTCTTTTCCTCTTCCTTTCCTTTTCCTATCTTTTTACTAAATTTGGAAATTCTTCCACCTTTTCTGAGCATCAGTTTTCCCTCCCCTCATCTTCTCGTGGTCGTGTGGAAGAGGTTGATCCTGATGCCATACCTATGGCCTGACCGTGTGAGAACCTTTGTAACTGTATCATTCTGGCGTAACACCCGTCTGGATAGTTTTTTAACAGGTGTGAATGTGATCCTTGTTCCGCTACTTTCCCATCATCAATAACAGCAATAACATGGGCATTTCTAATGGTTGATAGCCTGTGGGCCACCACAATCGTCGTCTTCCCTGAGCAAGCACGGTCCAATGCATCCTGAACAGACCTCTCTGACTCTGCATCAAGTGCACTCGTAGCTTCATCGAGCAACATTATCTCTGCCTTCTTCACAAATGCCCTGGCAAGTGCAATCCTCTGCTTTTGTCCCCCAGACAATTGAACTCCTCTCTCTCCTACCTGAGTCTTGTAGCCCTCAGGCATGGCTGATATGAACTTGTGAGCATTTGCTAGGGTTGCTGCTTCTATTATCTCAGTTTCTGTTGCATTTTCGTTTCCATACTTAATGTTTTCATATATCGTGGTGGCAAAGAGGCACGGTTCTTGCGGGACTAGTGCCATGTGCTGCCTTAGGGACTTGAGGTTATACTTTCGGATGTCCTTACCATCAATCATAACTCTCCCAGACGACGGATCATAGAATCTCAGCACTAAGGAAATGACAGAACTTTTACCACATCCGCTGGGGCCTACTAAGGCAAGGGTCTTCCCTGCTCGTGCCCGCAAGTTGATGTCTTGGAAGACAGATATGTCAGGACGTGTGGGATAGGAAAAGTCAACATGCTTGAGTTCTACCTCTCCACGAAGGCGTTCAGGAACCAGCGTTGCATCCTGTTCATCAGGTTCAATCTCAGTTTTTCGATCAAGAAGTTCAAACACCGACTTCATTGCACGTCCTCCCTTGATGAAATCAGGTGCTAGGGTTAAAGTCTCAGCAGCTCCATTGGCAGATACCATAAGGACCATGAAAACCCGAATTGTCTTGGAAAAATCAGAGATTCCATGCTTCACAAGCCAAGAAGCATACCAGAGACCAAGAGCGTATGAAGCATAAAGAGCAAATTGAGCTATTCCGTATCCACTACCTGCAATCTGTCCCTTCCAGAAGCAACGCCGTAAAGGAATTTCAAGATTTCTAGTGAAAAGGCCAACAATTTTCGTTTCCGAGTTGAAGGCAGCTACAGTTCTAACATTTGACACTGCTTCTCCTGCCAACTGTGTAGCCTTGGCATGAGCCGCTTCTAGGTCTCCAGAGAAACCTTTCAGAAACATTTTCTGTTACCAGATTAATACATACATTAGGAACCATCACCTTAATTATAAAAAATTAAATGAACTGATAAAGTTGCTGTCTTGTTTAGCAACAATCACATGGGAAGTTGATGGTTGCACAATCCTTCTTTTTTATCTTTTCAAGCATGCCATATACAATTTTCAAACAATAACTGTGACGTATTCTGGAAAAGTAGACTAATTAACATGCTCAGTATTTTGTATTACGATTATGCCCACAGAGGAAAGGTAGGAGGGGTCATACTTGGAACTCATGCTCCATATAGCACAAGTATTATATTCCTTAATCATGTTTAGTCATTGATTATTCTGGGAAATCATTAATTTTAAGCACTATATATAATTGCATAAGCATGTCCTTAAATTTATCTTCTTTTTGGCGGGGAGACTTTGAAATAATCAGCAAAGAGTAACAAACCTGCAGAACAGTAGCAGCAACGACAACAGGGAAGACTGCAATAAGTACAAGAGCAAGACGCCACTGCAAAATGAACCCGGCAGTACAAGCAACAAGCATAAGAGCAGAGTTCTGCATTATAACAGAAATCCTGTCCCCAATAGCTGATCGAACATTATTGGCATCAAGAGAAAGCCTAGCAGCGATTCGGGCACTCTCATTTTCTTCCTGGTCAAACCATGCCATTTCGTTTTTAATCACAGCTGCCATCATTTTCTCCCTAACCCTTTTCGTCAGATTCTCCCCAACCACATCCCAGAAGAAATGCTGTAGTGTGTTAAAGATGAGGGCAGCAGATGAAAGTCCAATTAGTAAGTAGCAATACTTGGCAATTTCTCTGATCATAAAAGCATGGTCTGGGTTGTAGTAGACACTAAGGACAGCACTGAGAACATAGGCAAAGAAGGCACTGAGTGAACCACAGATAACGGAGCCCACAGAACCAACCAAAGCATAAGGCCATTCAGGAGCATTCATTTTAGCAAGACGCCAAAAGGAATTGGCTTGCTCCTTGAATGCCAACTTCTCAGGCCTGTAACTTCCATGGGTGGCATCAATAGAGAGACTAAAATCAGAAGTGGAGAAATCAGAGAGCCGACGTGAATAAGGTGAGCGACCATACGAAGAATTCCGTGCAATAATTGGTGAACTAACTGAGTTTCTGGCACTTGAAGGTCTGCAAGATAAAGTACAAGGTCATATACTACTTCAGATGTACACAGTTCAAGCTATTATAGCTAACAAAGTCACAAGTTGAACATTCTATTTTATCAGAACCAGAACAAGTAATTTCCAGCTTTTGTTGTCGGGTTTTATAATTATTATGACTAGATTTTAAGTTCATCATTATAAAACTTACTAAACTCTGCATAGCTTCTAACTTTATGTCAAACCCTAGCTTTTCTTTTCTCAATTTGTTTGATTGGCAAGTTTTTTTGTAACATGCTACTTAAGATTGATATTTAGTAGAGAATGATAACCATAACATGTTTTCTTTCCTCAAATTAAATAGGACTGATGTATTTTCAGCAGATAGCAGAAAATCTAGTTTGAATTTGAATAGGATGATTGTCCTAGACAATTGTTCAAAGATAGTACCTGGCACTACTCTTTCTCGCATTATGCATGGCTGTTTCATGAGCCGTTTCTTGCATGCGAATGAGCTTGGCATAAACACTATTTTCGCCTTTGCCCATAAGTTCATCATGGGTTCCAATCTCTGATACACTTCCTTGTTGAAGTACAGCCACAAGATCAGCCTTACGAATTGTGGAGAGACGGTGGGCAATAACAAGAGTTGTTCTGCCGATCATAAACCGGTCAAGAGCTTCTTGGACGAGCTTTTCTGATTCAGAATCTAATGCACTAGTCGCTTCATCTAAAAGCAGTATTGCTGGATTCTTAAGCATTGCCCTGGCAATAGCAATCCTTTGTTTTTGTCCTCCAGAGAGCTGCAAGCCTCTCTCCCCTACCTGTCATTTTCAGAACGTTTATCAGACTTTATTTATCAAAATTCTTGTCAATTTTTTGGATTTAATTCACAGCAAGCCTACTGGTGAGAAAATAAATTGTACAATAAAATCAATGAACTGGAAGCAGAAAGTTGCTATTCCTCATCAAAATCAATTATAGTCCATGTTTTGTCACATAAAATTTTAGTTCATTCCCAGCAACAGTAGGAAATTTTCTACAGAAAAATAAAATAAGATTGTATTAACAATATTACATACAAGTATATTTTCTCTAAAAGACAAAGGTACTGATATGCCCAAATACTGCACTAAACTTTACTAGGTATTGACATGTGATTTTGTCAAGCATTGCTAATTGGATAGCATATTTGATAATGCATATAATGCGTCAAACTTCGTAATAAGGAATCTTGCTTGATTCTCAAACCATTTTTATTAATTCTTTTAACTTAAGGTGACAGGATTTCAAAATTATAGTACTTGTATAATAATTCAACAAGGCTTTAAAGTTTGAAGAAGCTGTTTTCGGTCTTCGAAGACCCTCAAATTGAGGGAGTTTTATAATCAGAAGAAGAAACTTTGTAGTGGAAACACCAATATTATATTTAGTATGACATTTACTTAACTCTCTTTGACAATTAAACCCAAAAAACTGAAAAAGAAAAAGAATAGCAAAGATAAAAGAATATTACTAATTAAATAAATAAATCAAGACAGAGATAAGTAAAAGAAAGGCAGTGAGTGGGAAATATAATACTAACTGACAAATTGCTTTTGTCCAAATGGTCCTTGTTTCAGAAGAGTATGCTATTAATATCTGCACATGCATTGTTGACTGGGACATGTTACCTTTTCTTTAAATGCATGACCAAACACCTTCTATTGCATTGACTTTTTTGAAAGGGAGAAAGTGTTAGGTTTTGTTTGTTGACCAATCATCCCATTTTGAGTTACATAAGAAAGAAATCACGCCTAACTTTATTTTTTCGAATACTCCGTATATAAAAGGTACACAGATCTAAATGTCCCTGTAACACGGCAATGAACCAATAGAATCTAAAAGTCCGGCTATCTCACGACTATCTTTTTAGTACTACTACTTGCACTAGTTATATGAAATTAATACGGAGTACTCCATAAGGAATGAAAAACAAGAAAATAAAATAATCATAGAAATTGATTGATTAATGATTAAAAAATGAACATGAGAGATGAAAAATAATGTTACTAAAATAAGATACTAGTAGTAGGGCTAGTATCATTCTTTTATCCAAGGTATAAAATAATGAACCACCCTCTTATTCCCTTCTTATGGTTATTCAAAGACTCGAGCTATTTATTTAACAGTAAAATTTAACTCCTTGTGGAACAATCGCAACCCCCTTAAATTGTTAAAGAAGTGTAAAATGGTAAATTTTACACTGTTATATATCGAACTTGACGCTATTTACTTCCTTTTCTTAAGCAAACTCTTTATTGTGGGCAATACGCAAGCCAAAACTTAAACAAAGTAGGAATATTGGACACAATAATTCAGACCAAGAATAGATAGAGTTAATAGTTAAGTCAGATCCTCGAATCCACAACCATATCTGGTCAATGTTCCTAAGTTTGAGACTTAGACCACTACTCTTAACCATAATATGTGCAAAAACACGAGTTACCATTAACATCAGAAACCACAACTAATGAACAAGAACAATCACACACCCACCTCTCGCCCCCTCAGCCAACCGCCTTGTGAACCGATAACAAGATCCGTATTAAAGATATACAACATTTTTAAGAAAAGGGTGAAATTGATCTTACCTGAGTTTCAAAGCCATCAGGAAGCTTAATGATAAATGAATGGGCGTTGGCGACTCTGGCAGCTTCTTCTACCTCGACCATGCTAGCATCTGGTCTGCCTAGGAGTATGTTTTCTTTGATACTGGTTGCAAATAAAGCGGGTTCTTGGCTCACCAACCCTATTTGCTGCCTCAGCCATCTCAGCTTTAATGTTTTAATGTCATGCCCATCTAAAAATACTTGTCCTGCATACCAAATACTTATTATCAAACTACCCAATGAAAAAATGCTTCATTATTTGTAAGAAAATAAATGACATATCATGAAAGTTTTACCTTCAGTGGGATCATAAAATCTCTCAATTAGAGAAACAACAGTGCTTTTCCCAGATCCACTACTACCAACTAGAGCTATGGTTTTTCCAGAAGGAACTGAAAGCGAGAAGTTGTTGAGAATTTTCACATCCGCCCTTGATGGATATGCAAATTCGACGTTTTTGAGCTCGATTTGCCCCGTAACGGATTCCAATTCGATGCCTGATTCCTTGATTCGGTCAATACTTGGTTTGTGATCGATTACCATAAAAATCTTTGCAGCTGCAGCTTTTGCCTTGGCAAATGCACTCATACTCGGCGCTGATTGTCCCAAACCTCTGATTAACCAAATTAGTACAATTTTAATCAAAACTTCACAATAATAATTAATCTGCAAGATTATCGGAAACAATTGATGATAAACTTACATTCCACCAATCATGACAGCAAACATAGTAGCAATGGCAAGACCTCCATTAGTTAAATGGTGCCTAACAAGATAACCTCCATACCAAAGAAGTAGAGCATAACAACAAAACACGATGAAATAAGTTCCTCCCAATCCCAAACCCTTTGCTAATCCACTTTTGTACCCAAGCTTTTGGGCAATCTTCAATGCTGCCGAATACGTCTGTAAAGCTTTTGATTCACCCACAAACGCGAAAACCACCCGAATTTGAACAATTGTCTGCAAATTAGTACCAAATGAGACATACCCCGATCAGCAAATTAACCATAAAACATGCTCAAAAGATCAAATTCAACAAAAAAATCAAAATATTCTTGTTAAATCGTACCTGTTCGACAATATTTCCAGCCTGAGACATAGCTCCTTGGCTCTTGCTAGACAACTTAGCTAATGTAGTAGTGTGAATCCCACCAATAACAGCAATTAGAGGAACAACAGCAAGAGTTACCAAAGCTAATTGCCACACAGCAGTAAATCCCACCACAAAACCAGTCACAAATGTTGCCAAGTAGTGTATAAAACTACCCAACTGAAAATTCATCAACACAAAATCAAATTCAGCAATAATTCAACCATATAATACAGCAAAAATCATGTATGAAATATGGTCCAAATAAAATAAAATTGTACCTTTTCACTGATGGCATCTTGAACAAGTGCAGCATCAGTGTTAATAGCAAAAACAATGTCAGAAGTTCTAACTTGAGTATCAAAGTACTGAATGTCCTGACTCAATGCTGCTTCCAAGTACTTAATCCTCATCTTCGTTGATTGTCTCTCTCCAGTCCACATCCAACATGCAATTTCTATACACCATATAATAAAATTAAATTTAATTATAGTCCACAAAAAATGGGAGAAAAAATTAATGAATTAAAACCCAAAAAATTCACAAATTCATAACCAAAAATAAATAAAAAAAACCACCTGCCCAAGAAGAAGCCCAAATTGCTGCTCCAACAACAAGAAAATAATATGCATACTACAAAAAAAAATGCCAAATTTAGAAATTATTCAATAAATTGAGTAAGAAAAAATACAGATTAGAGATTAATTTAAAAAAGTAAATGAAGTGTACCTTTAAAACTTCTTGCATCATTTTATCAGGGTTATTAGAGTAAGAACCAAAAGAGTTAACAAGATCAGCAAAGAATCTAAGAAAAAGGGGTAAAGCACAGCCATGAACAAAAGCACCAAGAGAACCAATTCCCATCAAAATACAATCCAATTTATCAGCAAATCTGAACAACTCTTTGAACGCAACTGGTGGTGGACCTTCTTTGGGTTTATCAGTTGATCCCGAAGACGACGATGATGCATCCTTCTTCGCATTACTATTACCGTTACCGTCAGTAGCTTCCATCTTCGAGGTGCTCGAAGGTTGGAATTCTTGAAGAAGAGTTGGAGGATTGGAGTTAAGAGTGTTGTTATTTGAAGAGCCTGAAAGCACAAGACCATGCATTTCCGACCATCTCCATTGTTCAATTGTCTTTATCTCTTTAGATTCTTCTTGTGACATTATATGCAAACCAAGCCAAATTTGAGCTTCTTTTATAACTCCAAAAAAAATGCACAAAAATAATTAAAAATAAATAAATAATGAATAATATAAAAATTAATTCACACCCACTTCATCTTTCTCTCTCTTCAAGATGGGTTTATAATTTTTTTAATCTTTTTTAAATTAATGGGGTTGAAAGCTTGTGGGAAACACCATCCCAAGAATAGTTGACAATTACTACTGGTAATAAGAATTTACATGTGATTCTGTGTTAAATTGGAGAGAGGGGAGAGAGAATGAGTGAGTGACAGAAGATGTGTTTCAAAATTCATTGATTTTGTAATTGTTTGGTTGCTTGTTTGTGTAGAAAAAAGAAAGAGAAGCAAGAAAGTGACATGATAAGGGAAAGGAAGGAGAGAGAAAGAGTGGAATGTGGGGAGGTTTTGTATTAATTCTTCTTGTAATTTTAAAGTTTCCGACAAATTATACTGTTGTGTGAAAACTTGGAGGATCAAGATTTCGATTTTCGATTTTTTTTTTTTTTTTTTTTTTACCCTATGAGCTAGAGTTGTACTAAAAAAAACAATTGCACACACTATGTGAAAACTTGGCATAATCTAATTATTACTTCGTTCATTTCTTATTAGTTGACACGTTTTATTTTATCGCGTATATTAAAGAGTGATAGAGAAAAACAAAAGACTCATATACCCTTACCCAACCTTATTCTACCTACCCTTCTCCTTGCCCAGGTAACTGAACCAATGGCCAAGGCCCACCACCGTACCAACCCAAGCTTTCGTCTAACCAACCGCCACCGCCACCACCGTTACCAACTCCGGCTACACAGCTCCAGCTGTGTTGATGCTCACTTTCTCTCTCCTCCGGACCTCCTTGTGTTTGGCGTTCTCCTAGGTGAAGCTCCTGGAAATACGTACGAAGTTTAATTTCAGGCAACGTGAAGGTAAAATTAATTAGACCGGCAGACAACGTTGATTGCTCCTCATATGACGCCGATTTCGGTGGTCTTCATGGTGATTGTGCGAGTCATCAATAGTTGGAGAGTGGGAGAGGTGAGAGAAACTGAGATGTTATCCATGGTGAATGAAGGAGAGATATAGTGTATATTGTGGGGAGGAAAGTAAAGCAAAGTAAGGGTTAATTTGTCTTTAAACATTACAAAGTTTTCCCAAAAAGGAAACGCGTTAATTAAAAAAAAAACTTTCCAAAAAGGAATACGTGTCAACTAAAAAAAACAAAAGTAGTATTATTACTATTACGTACCCCAGGTGATGCCCCGGATTCCCTCTATAATATATATCCTTATGTTTTTAAAATCTTACATTAATTGGCTACTTATAAAATAATTTTAATGAATAATTTTTTTTTAAATTTTGAGGAAATAAGGAATAATTATTTCTCAAAGGCATTATCACTAATGTCTAAATATATCCACGTCTGATACATTAGTTGCTTTAAATGTTCATAATCGGATGAGTAATTAATTTCCATTGACATTTAATAATTTGAGTACTCCTAGACTTTATTCAAAACCCTCGGTTTGAAAGTAAGTCTTCGGCTCCTAGACTTTTAGGATTTTTTTTTTAAAGACGATTGCCTATCTATTTGGAATTTTTTGCCTATCTATTTGGAATTTTAATTCTAGTGGAGATGTTCGGTTTGTTAATTGAATTTTAAATAAATTTTTTATCTATATGCCAAATTTTAAAACACATCATTGATACAAACATTCTTATGTAAGATGTGTATATCCCTTTTGATTTGGGATATTTTGACATAGGATATATATTATAGAAGTATACACTATATATGAGAAAAATGTTTATATTATTCGAATTTTCTACTCATGGATTAATAATCACTTGACAATCATACTTGTAAACTAAAAAAATATAGTGCCACCGATCATAAATGCATTTATTTTGAAATACTCTTTAACACGAATAGTATGATATAAAAATAATAAATTATTAAGATAATAATTATTGAAAGTTATAATTTTTTTTGTAAAATAGGGTTATAATTTAAATTGTAGAAAAAAAATATTGATATTTTATCAGAAATAAAACACTAAACCAACAATTTTATCCTAAAATCTATCCAAATTCCAACCTAGCATGCTCAACTAATTAAAATAAATAGCATTCAACATAAACTCATTAACCAAGACTCCACACCAAAATAGTTCAATCAACTCAACATACTCACTAATCAATTCCAATCCACTTGACTCTTTATACTTAATTTAATTAAGTTAATTTGGAGTAAGAAATAGACGAGGTTGTCCAACCCACTAAATTATTTTGGTCCCAAATGACCATTTAAAATAAAAATATAGCACGATACAAGAATGGGCGCGACTCCATTCTCACAAAGTTAGCCTAGGATCCCATCTAACTTTCGTTATAAAATAAAAATGTAAATACCAAAAGAAAAGAGTGCATGTTTATCAAACAAGTCTCGGAAAGCCATGGGCTACCACCGTGTACCCCAACCCATAATTGTCAATATTCTAGAATTGCACGCTTTCCAGAGTTTTATTGCTCATCCATGTTTCACTTTATGTGATTACAAACACAATCAATTCACCAAAACATGTCTCATAAACATAAGCACATGAATTAATTCAATGTTTAACCAAACAATTTCCATCCAAGAGTTCCCTAAACATGAAACTAAGTTATTTCCTTTTTGGTACCTTAACATGATACTACTTACAACGAAGTAAACATGTACGTGCCTCATGTAAACAATCCTTTGTGCCACTTTTAATCAATTAAAAGTCTCCTAGGGAATAATCACCTCCTAGAAAACAACCAATACTCAAATATTAATACCCAAACTAATATTTAGCAATATAAATTTGATTAAAACTCCCCTTAAAACATGTTTTTATGCTTAATTAATCATTAGAAATTTAATAGGAACAAATGCCCCAATTTTATTGCTCATTAGAACCCTAAAATCCCAATTTACATAAATTAAAACCCTTGGTTTATAATTCATAAAATCTGAACATAAAAACAACAATTATAATCTGAAATTATAACTTTAAATCACCAAAATATAGTTTTTCATACTAATTAAATTAATTTCAAACAAAAAAATCAAACTTAAAACAATTTAATAAACATTGAACAAAATAAAAAGAAAACAAAGGAGCAATAAGGGGAGGAGGCCACGTGGGCCAGCTAGGTCGGCTAGGTGGTCATCGGCGACCAGGTGGCGGCGACGGCAGTAGTAGGGCGGCATGCCGGAGGTGGCTGGAAATAGTGAGCTTTGCTCACATAGGAAGGAGAAAAGGGAAAGAAAGAAAAAGAAAAGAAAAAAAAAGAAAAAGGAAAAAGAAAAGAAAAGAAAAGGAAAAATAAAATAAAAGGGAAAGAAATAAGGACTAACCATTTTGTGTGGAGAAAATTTGGGGATTCATGGGGTATTTATAAGAGAGAGTTGTAGGGTAAAATTGGGCCTCATGACAATATTGGGCCAATTAAGTAATAAAAATGGATTGGATTTTTGTTTTGTATGGGCATAAATTGTAGAACGAACACATAAAACATCCTTATGTAATAAAATAGTTTATCAACCCAAAAATAATAATTTGAAACTTTTAAAATAAATTCTGGAAAAATACCAATAAATATTATAAATAAAATAAAATTTCATATATAAAATATTTAAAAATATGGGGGATTATATAATATATATATATATATATATATATATATATATATATATATATATATAAATGGGATCATGTGAGAACCCCAACTTATGTGAGAATAAATCTAGACCTTTGAATTTTTTTAATCTAAGGGCTGTGATTATTCCCTAAAAAATCAAAACCAAAATAGTATTTTAAACCAACCCCCTTATTTCTCTCTTTCACCTCCACATTTCTTTTTTTCTCTCTCCTCTCACCTATTGTTCAGTATGCATCATCAACTTCACGCCATTAATTTCAAAGAAATTAAGCTCAGCTTCTAATCAACCATGGCGTCTTTGTACTGTGCTCATATCACCATCATCTTTGTGCCATTAAAAACAAGGAAATTAAGCTCGAATTTAGGTCGATAATTGTGTCTTCAAGCTCCAATCGGCGACGATTATGTTCGCCATCAGCAACATCGCCTTTAGCATCATTGTTATTAACTTTGCAACATCAATAACAAAGAAATCAAGCTCAAAATTCAGACCAATCATGTCATTTTCGAGCTCCACTCAACGACGATTATGGTCGCGTGTTCCAGTGAAATGGAAAGATTTCGGCGATCGAAAATGAGTTTAATGAGTTTGTATTATGTGATGATAGTATGGAGCAATTTTCTGAGATTCTAATATAAGTTTGTTCATCTTCATTTATGCATTTTTATTGTATGTGTTTTTGCTCATTTTAATTTAGTTTGCTCATTTTAATTTCAGTTTGCTCATTTGTGAAGGATATGAGCAAAACAACATGTATTAAATTAACCTTGTGAACTATCTACTTCAAAAATAGGCAGAAAATGAAGTGCATAATATAAACTAGTATATTGTTGGTCTCTTATGGTCCAACAATTGTTTACATTTTCAGATATAGTAAGTAAGTTCAAGGTTTCATATTAGTTTGAATGTTTTAGAATTTTTGCGCAGTTGATAAATGAACAAAGAATAGTTGCTCATTTGATAAATGAACAAACAAAACAAAGAAATATTGTTTGCTTGTTAAATAAATGAACAAAGAATTATTTCTCATTTATCAAATGAGCAAATATTATTTGCTTATTTATCAAATGAACAAATATTAATTGCTCATTTATAAATAAACAAATAAATGTTGCTCATTTGATAAATAAACAAATATATGTTGCTCATTTGATAAATAAGAAAAAAATATAAATGAGAAAAAAAAAATTAACGTTAAAAAAAACTTAAATTTTTTTTTTTATTTTTACTCATTTGATAAATGAACAAAGAATTTTTGCTCATTTGATAAATGAGCAAATAATTGTTTGCTCATTTGATAATTGAACAAAAAATTATTGATCAAAATGAGCCAAACAAAAAAAAATGTAAATTTACATTTTTGCCATTACTATGTGAGCAATCTCAACAGTTGAATCATGAGGTATCCAATGGTTGAGATTTGTTCTCATATATAATAGGGTTATCACATATAGACCTATTCTCATCGGATCCCTCCCTAAATATATATATATATATATATATATATATATATATATATATATATATATATATATATATATTGTAGGCGTCATTCGAAGCGCGCCTACGTTAGCATGTTGTGAGTATGCTTCGCACTCTTAGGAAGTGGGAATTAACATACGATTAGGGACACGATTAGGGACAAAGCAAAGTAGGGAGCCGCCAACAAGTTTATAAGGAACTTGCAAACTGTTCACGGATCATTTAAGGTAACCACGATAATGGGACAACGAAAGGCAACAACGATTAACTCGTGAAGGTTACACCCCATTCATAATCCATGAGATTACTAACTCCATATGGTTCGGAACCACGAAAGGAGGATCGGGGATGATGATGGTACGAAGTGAGTCATGGAGTCACGTTTGCCCGTATTGACCTCTACTCGATTCTTATTGTGAAAAGTAATTCCTGCGATCTCAAAGGCACACAAACAAAGATTTAATTTGCTCCAAACTAAATTAGGATAAATTGGTTGAATGTTAATGCAACATATAATTCTAAAATATTGTGACCACTTGATTAAGAAACAAGATTAAAAAGGATCCTAAACCGGTGGCCCAAATTATCTTATTAAGCGTTATGTTCAATTACATATTCCCTTTAAACATGCAATATGCATGGTGATCAATAATATAATAAAATCAACATTAATATTGGAAGCAATTTAACCATAATAACGATTAGTATATGAAAAACATAACAAAAACCGTTAGAAATATAACAGGAACAAAAGGAACATGATTCCTTACTTTGATTGCGTTTGCTTGTAACTATGAAACAATGAACGCGTTAGTAACTTTAAGGAAAATAATAAACAAGAATGGAAATTAAATTAAAGTAGAGTTGATTTAGGGCCAAACCCTCAAACAGTTCTACCTTTCACGCCTTGGTTTAAGTTTAGAACTTCGGGTACAATATGGAC